CATTTACAAACTCCTACTGTGATTGATGAGGATAATTATGGTGATTTTACTGAGGTTTGTAAGACTCTTTCTGGCAATCGTTTAAAATGTTGGCCTGCTCACCCCAGAAAATTCAAAGTTTCTCAACTCACTGCATTTTATTCTGTCTTGTTCAGACTCACAGTGATGAATTGGATTCCATCCAAAAATGTCTCTGTGATTACTAAACCTCATGCAGTACTCATGTACAAATTGGGGATGGGATTACAAGTTGATTTTGGCAAACTTTTCTTTAATAATATAGGTCATCTTGCCCAGAAAATTTCATCCTCCACTCATCTTCCTTATCCTTCTCTCATCTACTCCATTCTGCTTTCTTAAAATTTGGGCCAAGATGACTCTGAGTATCTCCACACTCCACAAGGCATGATCACTGTATCTCAAAATTTTCTAAGAGCTCCTCATGTCCAAGATCTTCCCAGGAATGGAGATAATTTTCTCTCAAGTGAATCAGGTCAAAATAATCTGGGTACTGAAGGTGTTGCTCCTAATGTTGACAACACTTCTAACATTCTTGTGTCTGTTCCTAGAGATCTTCTGTTACATCCTAGAGATCTTCTGTTACAGCAGCTTACACACTCTCTAGCTCAGATTACCTATCACCAGACCATGGTGGACATGCTCCAAAAGGCTCTTTCTGATCAAAAAGGGGGAGAAAAAGGTCATGAAGCTGAAGCAGGAACTTCCCACCCTTTGGATGCCAGAGGCAGAGGGCAAGGAGTTAATGAAGAAGGAGCAAAGAATGAGGCTGAAGAGGAGAGCAGTGGATCCAGTGCTAGTGATGGAGGAGCAGCAGCTGATACTGAGGAGACTTTGGATATTGTTCTGTTTTGTTCTGTTCAGTGATGGAGGAGCAGCAGCTGATATTTTTATGAACAATATTTGGTTTTGTTCTGTTTTTATTTTTTCCTCTGAACTTTTATGTTAATGTTGGTTGTCAAATTCAGGGGGAGTTCAAGCAATGACTCAGGGGGAGTTAAGCTAAAATTTAGTTTTGATCAGAAAGTTAAAAAGGGGGAGTTTGAAACACGTGGATTATTTCCACATTTTGTTTTTAACTTTCTTATTTTCTAACTAAATTTTAGTTATGGAATAAGTAGTGCTTAGTGGGTTTAGTATATGGCTTAGTGGGCTAAGTAGTGCTTAGTGAGTTAAATTGTGAATATTATTTTAACTACCCAACTAACCCACTAACCCATGTTCTTGAGTGCTCTTGTAGTTGGTTTTCTTGCAGATCATGGGCTGAGGAGTGGATGCTTGGAATGCCTATAAATACCGACTTCAATACTCAAGGAAGATTATCGATTCGACGAAATAAAAAACCGAGAGCTGAAAAGAATACATGAGTGTTTTAGAGTGGTTTTAGAATCGGTCGTTTGTACTCCTCATGAGTACATTCTTTACGTACTCCTCATGAGTACATTATTTACGTACTTCTCATAAGTACATTCTTTGTAGTCTAGATTGTTTAGTATATATGTTTCTAGACTTGGTTGTAAGAATGATCAAGATAGTGATTCATTCATAAGTTCTTCACGTACTCCTCTCAAGTACATCTTTGAAATCTAGAATTTTTAATATTTTTCTTTTTGTATCTAGATTTGAATGTAAGAATGATCATGAGAATGATTCATTCATAAGGAAGAAGTTTTCGCACCTCTTCTGTTTGTATTCTTGGAATACTGATTTTAATATATTTTTCCGTCCTGTAAAGGGCAAGTTCACAAGTCTTTACTTGTGAACATTTTTAATTCTGAGTATTGTTATTTTATCTTTATATTTCCGCTGCGTGTTTGTTCAAGTGTCATAACACTTAATATAACACCTCTGTATTAAACGAATTCGGGACCATAAATTCTTTCAGTATCCTAGACTTGTTTTTTTATTTAAGTTCATTTTCCAAAATATTTGCAAGAACCCTTAACTTTTAAAAATAAATATTTATTACCTACTTAACTTACTATTACCAACTTCTACTTTTGACATTTACAAATACCACCTAAATAGTTGACTTTGGTTGTATTTTAAACTCCAATTTTTCCTTACTCATTTATTAAGTTATAATATAGTGAACCACTTTTAAATGAATTGTCACGAACAATAACATCTCAAATCCCCACAAGCATTTGTGAGTTAGGTGTGTTTGAAAAAAAAAAAAGTTCGAAATATATTATGACTTTTTTTCCTCTCAAAATCTAGTTGCAAATATTTACAAAATCAACTTTTACTTTTATTTTTCTTAAAATAAATTGCTAATATAAAAATATATCCCTAAACAAACTTTTTCAATTCAAGTTGATTTTTCAACCCATTTCCAAACACATCAAACTTCTAGAAAGAAGTTCTGAAAATCAACTTAACTTACACTCACAAACTTTTCCTTTAAATAAGCTTTTACAAACTTCACTCTAGAAGGTGTTCGGTTAAACTTATAAGATGTTAAAAACAACTTATAAGTTGTATAAGAGTTATAAGCTCTTTTAAAGTGTTTGTTATTTTTTGGGTAAATAGCACTTAACCATCTTGTGGTTTGGACATTTTGCACATCACCCGCTTATGGTATGCATTTAGGCACATAACCCCCTTGTGGTTTTGACATTTTGTACATGACCCCCTTATGATATGAAATTAGGCACATAACCCCATGTGGTTTTGAAATCTTGCATATGACCCCCTTATGGTATGAAACTAGGCACATAATGGTTTTGAAATTTTGCATATGACCCCCTTATGGTATGAAATTACCACATAACCCCCTTGAACAGAAAACATGAAAAGACTAAATTACCCCTATCAAGTCAAAAATTCTTTTTTAAGGATCCTCTAATCGACCTGCAGCATGCAGCTGCACTGCCTCTGCGACCG